TGAACTCCCAACCTTCATCAATACATAGAATGTCCTTTATTTCTGTTAATGCCACTGTAACTTTGAGAGCTTTTTACAAATGTAATTGTTAGCCTCTTTTCCCCATCTCACTTGTGCCCCCCCCCAACTATTGTATCCTTTCTCTATGTAAACCTGTGTCCTAAATATTATGTTCCATGTGGAAGTGGATTGTGATCTACAAAATCTCACGTTGAAATAAAACTCTTGCTTTTTAGAGTGCCACAACATTTTTCTTGTCTTTTTGATTATATATGGTAAATCAAAGTAACACAGCTAACTGGGTGATCTTGGGCCACTCACATACTCTTGCAGCCTCAGCTACTGCTCATGATGGTTATAAGAACAAATGGGAGTAGGCAAGAATATAGACTGACATGAGATCCTTGGCAGAAAGGTAGGATGTAACTGTCACTAAACATTAATTGATGTATCAATATTCTTTTTATTTCAAATGTCAGTTCTATACAGATTGTCTTGTTCTGGAGGGAAGCCCTGTTCCCCTCCTGGTCCTTCTCTGACCCTTCAACCTAGAGATAGCTGTGCCAACATGCAGGCAATCAATAACACCAATTTGGTGCCCTTATCTGATGCAGAAAGATACCAAGGTAAAGGGTTGTAAATCAAACAGGTCTAAGCGCCCTGAAGTCCAAAACAGGAGAATCATAAAACTAGGAATGTGATCTGGTAAGTGATCTCAGATTGTGAATGGAAAGAATCCATTTCAAACATAGAAACATCACGTCTTAAGTAATTATTTTCTCACAGCCATGAACTAAATCCAGGTACTAATCCCAACTAAATTAAACCTACTGAATCAATGGGACTTACGTAAGCATTGACTTAGCCAATTCTTTTCATTCAGTGTGTGTACTGTAGTTGGGACTAACAGTCAGATTTAATCCTTCATCTGTAGTGACTTGAAAGCAACGACATGTTATTACAACCATGGTCTGATATATCATAGATATTTTTGAAGTGCCAGTGAGCTACATTTCCTAGACTCTTGTCTGAAAGCCAGAAATGGTCTTACTGTATGTGATGGTGCTACTAAACAGCAATTAAGATGAACATCAATAGGATTAATAAAGAAATGCAAGTACCTTAGATATTTTCAAGATTGTCCAAATTTGTAACATGTACATTTATGATGGAGGTTAGGAAGACTCCCCAGTTGCCTGAAATTAGCAGGATTGGTAAACTGCCTTTACTATCATATTTTATTAAGCCTAGTCAGTGCACATACCATGTCTTGTTCTTAGAAACTCTGAATGTATGATGCTAGCTGGATAGCTAGGGCTGGCTACATGTAGCAAACATACTGTGAAAAAACATCTATGTATCAAAAGTGAACATGCCACACTAGCATACCACTGCTGTATTCAAGGTGAATGTAAGGAATACTGTAACCTTGAAAAACATTACTGTATTCTGGTTCTTCAGAAAAGTCATACACTTTTCTCTATTGTTTCTTGATTGCCTAATCTCTTGGGGTGATCAATGGAGTGATCAGTGTCGTAGCCAGATTGCCCTCACATTTGTTGTGGAGATGGGCCCTTCAAAATCAGATTTGGTTATTTTAAAAAGGTGTTGAGAATTTGATGGAGCAACAGTTTTCTTCTGAAAGCTGACATACTGCACATTAATGTTTGGTTACAAGCAGAGTTTGGATGGTAGGGTCTTGAAATTTGAAATTTTATGATACCATTCTGCCACTAGAGGGAACCAAGCTCTTTTAAAGTACTGTATGGCTTAAAATATGTATTTAAAATAATTTTGTAAAAGTTTTTATCTGCCACTACTGTACTATCTCCATCTAAGATGCAAACCTGGCTTCAGCACCATCAGCCATGTGAATGTGGGACATTAGTAACAACAAATGCGTTGGAACTACCCACAAGAGCTTGTTGCACAGCCATGAAGATGATCACCAAAAGTTTGCTGTTTGCTTTTTGTTTTATATTATTAATATTGATTAAAAGTATCACCTGTTCCTATATTTGTATTATTTCCACAACCATGAGGCCTTTTCCTGACTTTTTCTTTATATAAGGATCCTTGTAATAAATATTTGTCCGTCCACTGGTAATGGGTTGTTTTTGTTACCTGTTGTGGGCATATTTCAGTCAAAATGTGTCTTAGACTTTGATACTAATATATCTGTGTGACAACAAATGGAAAATAAACAACAATATTGTGCACATTAATTAGAAGGTACGTTGGTTTAAGCACCTACTGTGCAACAAACATCTGATCCTTTTTCTATACAGGTTAGTAAGTGCACAATAAACAAGTTTTTTAAAACAGGTAACTAATGCATTATATATTAGACTCACGTTCCTTCTTAAGGCTTGTTGGTTATTCTTGATAACCTATGGCACCATACAAGAAGCTGCTGAAACATCACATTGGCAACAAGTACCACAACTAGAAACAACCTGGCACAATTGAACAAAATCATTTTATTGGTCACAATGAGGAAACTACAAGATAATGCATAGTCTCTGGCTCAGTCTCTAAAAATAATATGACTGCCACCAAGCTCCCAGCGATAGTAGACTGCTACAAGGCCAAATATGTTCTCTAAGACTTGACACTGCAGTGGTCAGGCAACTTAGCAAGGTTCTGGACTTGTCTAAGTGCTAGGTAACTTGCTGTGTTTTTAACTAACAGTTTATCTGTAGGGTCAGATTATATATTTAAGTGTGGTGTGTTGTCTGAACCTATACACCATTATGTATTTATAATAGAGTTGGCATTTGGTGATGCTCTCCTCTCCCCCCCCCCCCAGCTGCTGTAGTTTTGAAAAATATTTACTTAAGAGGCTTTTTCTGGTTTGGACAATAAAATCACCAGAAGCTTACCTGATTGAGGCAGTCGTTGTTGTTTAGTCGTTTAGTCATGTCCGACTCTTCGTGACCCCATGGACTAGAGCATGCCAGGCCCTCCTATCCTCCACTGCCTCCCGTAGTTGTGCCAAATTCATGCTGGTTGCTTCACAGACACGGTCCAGCTATCTCATCCTCTGTCGTCCCCTTCTCCTCTTGCCATCACATTTTCCTAACATCAAGGTCTTTTCCAAGGAGTCATCTCTTCTCATGAGATGGCCAAAGTACTGGAGCCTCAGCTTCAGGATCTGTCCTTCCAGGCAGTACTCAGGGTTGATTTCCTTTAGAATGGATAGGTTTGTTTTCCTTGCAGACCAGGGGACTCTCAAGAGCCTCCTCCAGCACCACAATTCAAAGGCATCAATTCTTCGGTGGATTGAGGCAGTAGTCCCATCCTCAAGGTAAGTGCCAGTCCTGATCTGACAGTAATAGAAATTCCCTGCTGCAAATGTTAGAAAAGTTGCATTTTGGGGCTGCAAACACTCAGAATCTACCAACCAGCACAGTCTGTGGCTTTTTCAAACTCCATTCCTAGTCTTCTCTTGTATTTTCTGAATTATAAGTGGTGTGATACTGTTGCTCCCAGAAACAACCAGAAATAGCTCTGGCACAAACGAAATTGAGGCAGAGCAAGTTCTTAAGTGAGGGACGTGGTGGAGCTGTGGGCTAAACCGCAGAAGCCTGGGCTGCAGGGGCAGAAGATCCGGCAGTCGTAAGATCGAATCCACGCAACGGAATGAGCACCCGTCGCTTGTCCCAGCTCCCGCCAACCTAGCGGTTCGAAAGCATGCAAATGCGAGTAGATAAATAGGGACCACCTCGGTGGGAAGGTAAACAGCGTTCCGTGTCTAAATCACACTGGCCATGTGACCACGGAAAGATTGTCTTTGGACAAAACGCTGGCTCTATGGCTTGAAGAGCGGGATGAGCACCGCCCCCTAGAGTCGGACACGACTGGACAAAAATTGTCAAGGGGAACCTTTACCTTTTTAAGTTCTTAAGAGTGCTGTTCACCCTGTGTTGATCACCTTTTATGGAGGGAGGAAGTTGCCAGACCTTTATTTCCAGATTATACATCTTTTTCAAAGCAGTTTATACTTGAAGATGTAGGCCATTGCAGTTACAGTAGATGTTTGTTGATGAACCTTGCAAATACAATTTCATAAAATTAGTATTTTCTTATTCACAATTATATAACAAACAACATGAGCAATTATAACAATAACAAAGTGCTACAATTTATGTACCCAAGCCCTTGGCAACAGCACCAAAACAGAAGTTGCTTGTAGAATTGTAAAGTTCCAGTGTCTGTTCGAATGCAAATTCTGGGGAAAAAACAAGACACTGGGCGGGGTGTCCTTACCATAGAAGAATCTGCTTCATGTGCGAAATCTTCAAAACTTTTAACCAAGGTGGCACGGGTCTAGCAGCGTAAGTGAAAACAGTGGCTCTGGCCTATTCAGCCCTCCTGCTCTTTTTGATTTAAGCCTCTTACTCACATCTCTGCTCTTTCTTAGTCCCACCCCTTGGGGCCGAACTGATATATCATAGGAGTTACATTTTGTACGAATAAATATCATATAATTCATTTAAGTACATGGAACTAGGGTTACATTATAAATAGCAGGAGTGTGCTTTTTTTCCTGGCAAGCAGCTTCACACTGAGGACACATATATTTAACAGAGCTATTGTTTGGTTGTAATAACAGATGGCAAATGTGTGTTTTCTTAGATTAATTTTTCAGTTGAAGTTCATGTAATTATTTATTAGGGCCTGTGTTGCAAATACCTGGAATCAGTCTGAGCACCCAAAGTTTATTTTTGTGCTAATTTACACTTCTTGAAATGAATTTGAATCTCCTGGAATGGTATAGTAAGGTTTGACTGGCACTAATTCTGTTATCATCCTTTGTCTGGGTTAAGGTCAATGGTAAAAGATAACAAGAACTGAGATCCAAACACTTGGCAGACAAGTGTTTCCCCTTCTCTGCAGTGTAGGATTGGTCGTGCATGCGATAGTACAGGATGATTCATGCACCTGGTGTAAAATCTTTTGAGCATTCAAAGCCTATCTAGAGCTAATGCACTTTATTGATGAATACAAGGGCTAAAGTTCTGGTTTATGATGGTGCACCAGATATAAAATGCCCAGAATTGAAAAGTTCACAGTTTCTACTGAAGCGATACATCATGGATTTGGAGCTAATATCTGTGCTTCTGAGTGTGATTGTTCTACAGATTGTTTGCTGTCTGGTAAGGCAACCCAAATTATGACTTTTTAATTAAAATGAAGTAAAACTCACATGCAACTCCAACGTCCAAGGGGACATGATACAAAATGTACTTTTAATATTTAATGCATGTTCCCCCCCAAAAAAACATATATTAATAGCCAGAGTCTGTGTGTCTGTGGTATTATCAGAAATCTATGCTGATAGGGAGATGAGTCTGAGGAATGCTGTTGCTCTGAAGCTGCCGCTTGCAGTGTCCAGCAGCATGCAGTCCATTCATGGGGTTGTCTATTAAGCCAGTATTCCAAGCTGAAAGTCAAGTCTGAACATGGCCTAGGAACACTTACACAAGTGCACTGGGCTATATGATATTTTGGTTCCCAAAAATCATGATTGCAGGACCAGAACAGAAACAAGAAATGTATGTGTAGGCATTATATTTGCTGTAGACTAGGATTTTTTAAACAGTGACTGAAATCCTACTCTACAGCAAAGTCTCAACTAGAGTAGACCCGTTGAATCAATATTTTTTTTGTGAGTCAATTCTACCTATGAGTTCAATTGATTCAATGGTCCTAGGCTAGTTGCTGTGTCATTTTCTTCCTTGCTAAATTTTTAAAGAGAGTGTTGTTGCATATCAAATACATGTAAGAACAACAGTACTTTCTCTTTTCATTATATATCTTCCTTATGCTCTCAGTAAGAAAGATGGTATTATCATGTACAGATCTGCATTGTTTATTATAAATATGACAGAAAAGGGGGAAAACAGATTGCTATGTAGAAGTATTTAGAGTAATATACAGTACTGTATACCGTCTTTACTTAATGTGTGTTATTTTGATTTTTTCTTATCTATTTTCTTCTAAGGATTTATTATTTATTCTTACACTAAATGCCTATTCAGTGATAATGGTTATTTATGTGAATAAGTAACATGGTTAAATGCCTAATGGGCTCCTGAAATAATAGGATAAATGCATGTGACGTTTACATATATATTTATATTGCCTGGTACACAAAAGCAGACCTAAGTACTGGGGATATTCCAAAAACTGAAGTTGGACAAAAATTTAAGATATGCAGAGGATACCCATGTTATTGGCAGCAAATACTTGGAACAACCACTAAGGAAAGTAAAAGAAGAAAGTGCGAACAGGGTTACAGCTGAACATTAAGAAGACAAAACCTGTGTCTACAAAAGAATTGCTTCCCTGTATTGTTAACAATGTAGAAATGGAAATTGTTAAAGGTTCCGTACACCTTGGTTCAATTATCAGCCCAAAATGATACTGCAGCCCAGACAAAAAGAAGATTAAGATTAAGAAGGGCAGTTATTGGAAGAACTAGAAAAGATCCTTAAGTGTAAGATATGTCTCTGAAGACTGAGATCCATAGGGTTGTGTTTCTGGTTAATCTTTATGGATGTGAAAACTGGGCAGTGAAGAAAGCTGACAGGAACATTATTAATTCAAAATGTGCTGGTTTTGGAGAATGCTGGATATAATGGACTGCCGGAAAAACAAGTTAAGGCTGCAACTACACTGTCAAATACTGTGGGATTTGTTGCAGGCAGAAAATGGCTGAATCTGCATTTTTGTAAAAACTGAGACCAATTCGAATCAGTCCAGCCCTTTTTGCTCCTAATGTGGATTTTTTTCTTTGCCACTGGGGGCTTCTACTTCTTTCAAGCTGGAATGATTCAAAAGGCCCTTTCCAATTGTGAGCAGTTATTTTGTTCTGCAAAATGCTTCATGGGACTGCCATAACTTGGAATAGATTTTGTGGCACATAGAAATAGATAACATAAAAAACTACTTTATTTCCAAAGAGATACCCATGTTAGTCTGTGTCCACACATACAACAAAAATAAAATGAAAATATAACACTACTGTAGCACCTTCAAAGATTTACAGATCCATTTCAGTGTGAGGTGTCATGGAATACAATCCATCTAGATTTATAAAAATGAGCTTTTGTGAGTTAAGATCCACTTATGTTTATAGAATTTATTTCAGTGTGAGTTTTTGTTGATTACAATCTACACATGGATTGTAATCCAGGAAAGCTCACGATGACATAAATCTGTTTTAAATTGCCACAATAGCTTTGTTTTTGTTGTATGGGAAAGTTTATAGATAGCGTCCCACACAGTACCAAACATTTACTGACATCCAACAGTGTAGCTTATGCTGTGTAAGCCTGACAATGTCATCAACTCTGGAGTTTTTTCAAAAATTAAAGACTTTCCTAACTATCCCACAGCCCCCAGTGGCTTCTCCATGATGGACAGAATCCCAGGGAAGGCTTGGGATTTGTGGGGAAAAGGGACTGGAAATATTTAATTTATAAAGAAGCACTGTGGCTGATGATACCATCAGTATGACGTATGCTACTAGATTTCAGCCATTTTTTCTCCATGTTATATACACTCTCTCATCAAGATGTGGAATAGAAGGACCCTGGTGCTTTTTTTTGGCCTGATAGTAGAAAAGTATGCCTGTTTGATGGGCAATGAATGTTTGATGTATTTCCATGAAAACAACCATTTTGTTGTTGTGAGGGTTCAGTTTGCGGGACCTCCCTTTCCCCAAATAAAGCAGGAGACGTTTTAAAATCAAAAGTGTTGTCTTCATTTATTAACTCGGGTAACTGGATTGAAACATTATATAAACTTGGAACAAATGTCTCCGGTGAGAGCGACAGCTCAGACAGGGGCAACCACATGTCCATTTCAAACGGGTTTGTAGATTTGTGCTCCCAGGGACCTGCCAAAACCCTCTCAGGTTCTGGGGGCGTATCTTCTCCTACATCTGGAATTAGTAATGGGGTGGTTTCTTCATCCCCCGACCAACCCCAAAGCAGTGATCCCTCTCCTGGGTTGGTCCCCCAAGGTCCAGATAGCAACCCAGTCTCTTCAACTCCTCCAGATGCCATGCTCTTCTGGCTTCTCTTTCCAGCTCAGCCGCCTCTTTCTCTTCCCTCAGCTTGTGTCACCACTCTCGGGTTTCAGACTCACCCCAGTATGACGGGCGTTGGGGAAGTCCTTTTGGCTTTCAGCTCTCTGCCTCTTGCCTAGGAACCTGGGCTTGCTCCCCTAGCCCAGTCCACGGGCCCTGCAACCAAATCATTTCCCAGCCACCCAGGATGTCGCCCCGGTTTACCTTTATATCGCCCACCCCCAACTCCACCACAGACTGCCCAATCTCCCCTTTTCCCGCCATTTCAGGATAAGTCTGGGTGGCCACCGTTAACCCCTTCAAGCCCCAGGTTAAATCCTGGGTATCGACTCCTCGATACACCAACTTAGAAGGGATAGGGGGTGGAGGCGTCTGTGTCCCCTTAGATGTTCTAGAGAGAGACGGCACTCCTATCATAGCTTCTTGACCCAAGCCTCGGGTTCCACAGTTGTGTACAGTGGGGTCTTGACTTAAGAACGGCTTGAGTTAAGAACATTTTGACTTAAGAACCGCTCTCATAGGAAAATATTGACTTGACTTACATACTTAGATTTGAGGTAAGAACTGAAAAAAACCACGTGGGAGGCAGGGAAAGTGCAAAATTTGAACTTTCAGTTAACTGTTGGCCATTGAAAAGGGTGCCTGTCTGCTTCCTCACTCCTCCCAGCGTGTAGAGAGTGGATTGGGAGTCTTCAGACTGCCTGGTACCGCCTGGACTGTATTTTCCCTGCCTTCCCTGAACCTTTCTTGACCTAAGAAAAAAAGAAACAAAATATCCCCCTCTAGTGGTCGAAGGCGGAATAGCAGTTTCCCATTAGTTTCTATGGACGGAAAAGAGCAGATACGGATCAAATGGTTTTCAATGCATTCCTATGGGAAATGCAGATTTGATCTGAGAACTTTTTGACTTGAGAACCACCTTCGAATACGGATTAAGTTCTCAAGTCAAGACCCCACTGTATAACCCTAAACCCCTTTCACCTAAGGGTGGGGTTATGAAGCAAGAGCTGTGTAGACTAGAAAAATACAATTTTATGACAGAATTGGGGGTGGGGCAAGAATGGCTCATTTTGTAGAACTGTTCACAAGTCATCAACCCTTCTTCCTTGTTAGAATAATTTTCAGTCACATTTAAAACCATAGTGTTTATTATGCAAGTTGTCCCTGAGAGAAAGCAATAATTGCTTAAGAGTACGCAAGGTAAGTGGTTTTGTTGCTAGAGCCAGGGGAAATCTATTTTCCTATATAGTTGTATACAAGCCATAAGAATTGTCCTCTTGGTTTCAAATGTTTATATCAATGTGTACGATTTTGCCCACTGGGGAAAACTAGCCAATGCTAGTTAGCTGACACTTGTTACTGTCAGATTTTCTCCAAATGCTTACAATATTTTTTTTCATATCTTATTGTTTTCTCTTTCCTTTTATTCTAGCCTGTTCAAACACCATTCGGTGAGTTCTGTTTCACATTCTACTAAGTAATATAAGCTGTGGGCCACAGAACTAGGAGGTCATAAGCAGAGCAGACTCAAGCACAGATCTATAAACTATTGCTAATGTCAGCAGATTAGCAGTTTGATCCAAGGCACTTTACTTGGTCATAAGTTCACCAAGTTCAGTGGTTCTTATTTCTAAACAATTCAAGCCTTCATTTTCTAATTAATCGACAAAGTTGATTCCAATTGATCACAATTATAATCATAATCTTAGAACTGCAGAGCTGGAAGGGTCCCTATGGGTCATCTAGTCCAGCCCCTGTCAAGAAGGGACAGTGAGGAATCAAACTCCCAGCCTATGGTCCTACAGACAGATAAATAAACCACTAAGCTATCCAGAGGTTCTTCAATATCTCATCTCTGTGTGTTTTTGTCTTTCAGAAACAGATGAAGACAATGAAATAGAACAAGATATCTTTGATATCAATGAAGGTTTTTAAAGTCTAAATGTTTATTTTAAAATGATTTAAATAATAATAACAGGATCATGAACATATACTAACTTCTAGTTTTTCCCTTTTTAAAGCTTTGGGTCTGAACCTGTTCGAGGGTGATATCAAACTTGAAAATGAGGTATGTTTAAATGCCAAGCATCAAAAAATTTTTTTTATGAGTTGGGAGGTATTGAACCAATTGACTGATTTTCTAGAAAGTGTACCAGTAATTTTTCCTAGTAAACATCTGCATAATGGAGAAGTTTCTGGCTCTGTTTATAAGCCCCTCCTCTTTTTTTATTACTACGAAGTGTTGTGAGAAGCCCACCCTTCTGCTTGAGAACATAGGAAGAGCCATGTTACATAATACAAAACACCTGCCTCTGAAGTTGGCATCATGTGATCCTTAGCTATTTTTAAGCATCTAATCCTGCTCCGTTTGCCACTGCCCCATTTGTCACTGCAACTGGTAGAAGTATGCCATTCAGATTTGGCATTACTACAAACATAAGCCTTTTCCTTTCTCACTTCTTTTCCAGAAGGGAAGTAGATGCTCTGCCCTGCTACCCTGCAGGATTCTGTGATGCAAGAGAGCCCTCTGGTACCCCATACACTAAAGAGAACTCCCACAGTTGGCATTAGATTTCCATTAGTTTATAGGTCTTATTTCCATAACTAATTAAGGAATAATGCCTTGTATATGACTTCTTTTTTCAGAGAAATTCCATTATTGGTGATGAGTATCGATGGCCCCACACTATTCCATATGTCCTTGAGGATAGCCTAGGTATGGCAGTAAATTTCATTTGTTGCAAAAGCAACCTTTCTGAATGGGTGCTTTTTACTTGCTTTAGTTTTTATTTATCTCCCAGAGTTTTTTGTTAGAATTATTAGATAAAGCAAAGCCTGGCACTGTTTAAAAAAGTTGATTTAAACAATGGTATTGCTAATGAAAATCCTAACATTATGTTACAGAGCATTAAGGAGAGAAACATTTTCTATGACAAGATTTAAAAAAGGAAATCTCAGGGGCACAAGTGCCCGGCATTTTACAAGAATGCTTGACACATTAATTAGAAAAGAGGTTACCTACCTGTAACTCTGTGTAAAGGTAGCAGGCCACTCTGATGTCACTGCCAACTCAGGCCTCTCAGAGTGCCCACCACACCACTTCACACTCGCTGCCACCAATTATAATGACTATTTAAGAAGGACAAAGGTTTCCTTCAAAACAAAACAGGTTTATTGGTACACGAAATAAAATATGTAAATCACAGGTAGCTAATCAAGGTGTAAATCACTGTTTCTTATTTGATCAATCACAGACTTTCCCTCACTGACTACTTAGGCACACAGGCCTCTAAAAAAGCTCTTTCTCTCTCACACACCAGATCTAAATCATTCTCTCCCTTCACACCCCTTTTTCTTCCAGCTCCTCCCCCTTCAGCACCACCCTCCATCACCCCATTGGCTGATGATCCACTGTCCAACTGTGACAGACAGGTGAGGTCAGGGCTGCCTGTTACACTCTGGTTCTTTGAGTAGTCCTCTGTGAATTCACACTAATGGGTTAATCTGTGGCTGAGCAGAGCAGTTTAAGGTAACTTCCACAGCTTTTAGCACTTAGTGCTGGGACCTCCCTACACTTGGCTATCTAACTCCGCCTCCAGCCCAGTGCCTCAGTTCTTAAAGAACCAACCGCTGCTGCCCAATATGCCATGGCACACATGACGGACAGTGGGGAGGAGGGCGGGACATGTGAATTCGCAGAGGACTACTCAAAGAACCAGAGTTACAGGTAGGTAACCTCTTTTCTCCTTTGTGTCCTCTGTGAATACACACTAATGGGTGACTAGCAAGCTGACCAACCAGGAGGAGGGTCATCATGAAAGTGCAGAAGCCAGGACAGCTCGTCCTACTGCAGCCTGAACCTTAAGCTGGGCAACCAGGCGGTAGGGTGAGATGAAGGGAGACGGAGTGCATCAAGAGACGGTGGCCTAGTAGGGCAATGTCGTCTTGATGCAAATGGACAGAACACCTGCCCATAACAGGAGTACATCAAGGTGGTAGAAGGTATGCCAAGATGATGGCGCACGTTCATTACTGTCGGGGAAGACTCCCAGCCAACAGGTAGGGGAAGCCAACACCCGGATGAACCAACCACCCGTGTCCTGAGACCATGAGGGACCATGTTCAGTGTGATGTATCCTGCAGGTCCCGGGAGCAGGAACAAGAACCAAGCTAGCAACGCAACCAAACATGACGGTTGCATACCCATGGCGGGCTCCAATGACCAGCCCTGAAGAGGGGGAAAGGTTGAAATCTGTGTAGGGGCCCCATGCCCCTTGGTCAGGAAGGCGCCCCCTAAGGAGGTGTGGCCAACACCAGCTCAGGAGCCCAACATGGCACACTACTAGTTCGATCGAGATGTGAAAGCATCCCTGTCTGGAGAATCCCATCAATGACAGAGGGAAAGAAAGATGGAATAGTCGAGGGCCCGCTCGTGTATAGCCACTGGATAAATGTGGTGAGCATAACATCATTCTGAAGAAGGCGTAACTAGAGAGTTCCTCCCTGTGTGTTCATATAAGAAACTGCAGCGGTTTAGAGTGATACAGTCTGGATTACCTGACTCCAGAGCAGGGACTCGGAGGCCCAAAAGGCCTTAATGAGTGCCAGGAGCTCCAGCACAATAACATGCAGACTGGTTATCGTCGTGGACCAGCAGGCAAGGGCAACGAGGTGGCATAGGCAAGCCCCACAAAGCCTATCGGGCTGGTACCCACTACTGACCAAACTGGGTCAAGAGACCAAAGGGGCTCCCTAACTGTAGTGGGGGGAAAGCGTCCACCAATCCAGGTGTGTAGTGACTTTTGGAGTCACCTGGAAGAACATGGAATTGTGGTCGCAAGATACCTGAAAGAGAGGAAGAATTCAGGATTAAAGGGACTGCAGCCTCAGTCAAGCAAGCTGTCCCACAGCTGCAGTAGATGCCATCAGTCCAAGGAATCGCTGGACCTGTAGGGCAAGGGGCCAAGTGCCTGAAGAAAAAAGAATCACAACAGTCAAACATTGCCAGAAACTTGTTGTCAGGATAAAATCCTGCTACAAGAAAGCATCCAAAGGCATATGAATACAATTTACATCATGTGTAAGGTATAAAGTCAGCTTCACTGTGTTGACCTATAGTCCTCACGCTGACAAAAGGGACAGCGCCCAGGATGTGTGCTTACCAGCCTGTGGCTTGGACTCCGAGACCAGGAGTCAGTGAACCAACCATGGGTGAACAGTGATTTCCGCAACTGAAAACCTGAGAAAGCGGTCATAGTCCAACCAGATGCCTGCATGAAAACAAGCATCTTATGATAAACCAATCCCCCGGACATAACTAGTGAATAACAGAGTCCAAGGAAGCCAAACAGGAACTGCAACAACCGAGAGGGGTGTAGGAAGATTGGTTAGCAACTCTTCCACCCCCTGCGACTCATGTAAATCCCAAACCTGAATGGGTCAACAGCAGATTTGGTCGAAACTGCAAACATTATGCTACCGGAGCCGAGTTTGAGGAAGCACTACATCTGTGAAGCATATGTGGAGGCATAAAGCACTCCATAGCCCATGGCTCAGAATGGTGCCGGTTAGAGCGGGATGGCGATGGTGGCCGAGAGCTCATAGCTCTTATCCCAAACAAAAGGGACTGGTCCTACGCAACCTTTTCAGTGTGATAGGACCTTCCTGAGGGAAATTACCCAGCCTTACCTGACAGCGGAAGGGTTCTCGGGTGGACTCCTGTGAGTCCCTTCCCTATGAGTCTATGCGGGCACTGGCAGCTGAGATGGGGCCACAGGCTACTTTGTGAGCTAGCCCATTGATAAAGAGGGCTGTTTTGTGGCAAATTAACAGCCACCAGCAGGTGCTACCCCAGGCAGAAATATCACCGACTAGCAGGTCTAGTGGTGGGAGTTGCAGCCCCCCTTTCAAAGGCAAACTAAGGCTGTCAAATGCTGCCAGAAAGCTTTTGCCTCAGCACGTCACTGGTTTTAGAAATAGCAGCCACATGAACAAGCCCTCTGAAAAATGAGGCCTAATACACCAAACACCAAGGGCGTTACCCCAGACAGGCAAAGCACTGACATGCAGGGCTAGTCACAGGAGCTGAAAGGGCCCATTGTATCCCCAAAGGGAAACACAAGCCTTACCATATGTTGCGGGCACATCTACAGCCTCGGTGTGCAGCTCCCTCCAGAAGTCGCAGGTGCATGAAGGAGGGTTGGTGTGCGGCACACACACACAGAGGTGCTTCCCATGTCAGGAGGAATCACTGAAAGTCAGGGAAGGTGACCGGGGCAACAGGAGGCCCTTCTTCTCCTAGGGACAGGGCATACCGAGCCCTAACTCCTGTGCAGCAGGAGGCCCTTCTTCTCCTAGGGACAAGGCATACAAAGCCCTAACTCCTGTGGGGTCAAACAGCTGTAAGCGCAAGCCCCTTGAACCAAGAGGGCTGTTCTGCACCAGCCTCCGAAGAGGCTGTACCCCACTGAAGTGGGGAGCAGGAGCTAGGAGGCCCTCCTTTCAGGGCTGTCCGCTCACTGCAACAGCTGTAAGAACGAGCCCCTTGAAACAAGATGGCTGTTCTGTGCTGAACTCCGGAGAGATTGTAGCTCAGGCAAGCTGAGAAGCTGTCCTCTTCTATCCTGCTAAGAGAGAAAATTGCAAACAGACAAAAAAAAACTGTTGCTTTCCAGCCTGGGGGTAGTTATAAAGAAGGTAAAAGATATATTATTCCTTTAAGAGAAAAGCCCTGAGGGCTGAAACACCAGTTTTGTAAAGCCTCAACAAAGAACAGCTAATGCCAGCTAGTATTGTATCCCCCAGGCAAAAGAAACAACTTGTTACAAGTAAAGAACAAGGGGAGGTGAAGGGAAAGAAAGAAAAAGGCAAGAAAAAGATTTGTTTCTACTTGCGAAGTTCCAATGAAGCTGCTGCTACAGCAGCGGTCAGAAGAAGAACTGAAGCACTGGGCCGGAGGCGGAGTTATATAGCCAGGTGTAGGGGCGGTCCCAGCACTAAGTGTTTAAAGCTGTGGAAGTTACCAAAGACTGCTCTGCTCAGCTGCAGATTAACCCATTAGTGTGTATTCACAGAGGACACGAAGGAGAACAACTTGTACTCTCTTACGAAAGACGCCACTGCTATCCAAGAACTATTTCCAAAAAATTGTGAAGGGGTGCTACTAGTTATAAAATGTATTGTTTAGTTAAACGTTGAAAGGATCGAATTAGATTTTTAAAAAATTCTAAAGTATTACATAATTGTGCAATACTTTTATAAGTGCCACACCAGATTTCTATAAGTAGGGCTGTCAGCATGGCTCCTCTAAGGCAATAGCTGGACTTTGCCAAAAGTATTGATAATGCATGATGTTCCAGTCAATAGCTTTGCAAGTATTTTAGGGTGATTGTCTCTGGAGATTTTTCGTGGGAACAGTGGACTAATGTGCCTTCTTGTACATTCAGTGTGTATTTTTATAATTTTGTAATTGTGTGTCATCAAGCCAATTCCAATTTATGATGACTCTTTCCACAGTTTCCTTAGTATCAAATATTCAGAAGTGGTTTACCATTCCCTCCATATGGGGGTGTCTGGAACTAAGAAGTTTGCCCAAGATCACATAGGCTGGCGCTTCTACAAAGCACAGTGGATAATTGAACTCTTTATCATACTCAACTCACTGATTTCTCCAGACAGCTATATATTTGTAGATGACATCGAAGATTACCAAATGCCAAAAGCTGTGATCTCCTTCCAAAGAAACCAAAATCAGGATTTTCAAGAGGGGAGATGTATTTGTCATAGCAAAATCAATGCAAAGTGTTGGGTACCTTAAAGAGTAATAAGTATTTGTTTTTATTTTTGTTGAGAGTTTGGTACTGTACTGAATTCCAGTACAAATGCACAGCAGAAGTGCCAGCCGGTTCAGGCAGAATTCAGCTAGAAGCTCCCTTTTGTACCCGCCCCTCACCAAACACTAGCACTTAAGAAATAACACTCAGGAGGCCTTATTTTGTATAAAAGTAAGAGATCTATATTCTACTCAAGAAGATAAGCATTTAGAAGGTTTCAGGGAGATACAGGAATAAAAACAGCAAATACAATGTTCGTCTGTTCTGGCCCCACATGGCTGGAGGGATTTCGAGGCTTAGTGGGCCGGCATGGAGTCTTACATCTTTCCAGGTGAAAGGCGTGTGCAGGAATGGTGACCAACAATGGTGGTTCAAACACCTCATGGCCAGGAGGGCCGGAAACAGGGGTGGAGCCTCCCTACCCAGGAACAACAAACTCTCTAATTGGTCAGTATGTAAACAAACAAGCAAACAAGTTAGTTTGTGTTGCAGGCCCTTCCCCTTTGAAATTTACATCGAGATTGCTTGACCATCCAACAATTTTTACTAAACTTTCATGATCTCTGACCTACTGCTTCAGATAACAGTCTCAATAGAGAGGCATTTAATCTAGGAATGTGTTGCATCCTTGGGACCTCCCACTATTCAGACAAGGAGGATGAGTTTAATAAAACAAAGAGATCAAGGAAAAATATTGTCCATCTTTTCTGTCTGCAGCAAACCCCACTCATCCTGCATCTTATTTTTTGTATTTATTTTTTTAAATGCCCTTGGAAGAAAGTCTCTACAGCTTTTCTGCAGAGTCTCCAAAGTGCCTGCCTAGAGTTAAAGTGAACACCTAATAACAGTAATTTAGATTTTCTCTCACTCTTTTAGAATCAGTGTGTATGTAGATGTGCTTGTTCATTCTTATACTTTGCTATTTTTTTCATCCCTGTTGTCAAAAATCGATAAATACTTCAAACACACACCACAATTTGTATAAGGAATTTCATTATTGTTCTGGTAATCATGTCCAACATTCATAACAAACTAGGTATTGAAGTCCTTTGTTTCTACTCCAAAAACTTACTCCAATAGACTAATCCAGTAGGCTTCAAACATTCCGTTCATATATCAAATATAGTCTCAAAAATACTACTAAAAGAATTTTTGATTCCTGGGGGAGGGAGGAGATTTTAGCTGATTGAGTAGAAATTCATTATTTTAAGTGAATAATAACTGATCCTTTGTTTTATTTCTAGAGATGAATGCAAAGGGGCTTATTCTCAAAGCATTTGAACAGTATCGCCTAAAAACCTGCATTGATTTCAAACCCTGGGAAGGTGAAAGAAATTACATATCAGTGTTTAAAGGGAGTGGGTAAGACAAGTAATAATTAAGCTGTTTTCACCTCTGTAATCTCACATACAGACGTTGCCTGCATGAAGAACATTAAATTAAGACATTTCTAAAGCTATACTTAGTGATCTGGTGCTTAGTCCTTTCTTAATGAAAGGAGAGAATCTTTCGTCTGCATGCCTTTAGAGATGAGCAAAACAACATATGGGATCTAGACATCTTATGGGATCTCAATAGACTCTTGAATTATAACTTCCATAGTGGCCTTATTCTAATCTATGCAGATCAACACAGGTGAGAAAAAAAATTATTAGAAAGAGGATTGGATAAGACATTCACAAAATATAGTTGTACAGATTGATTGGAATGTTTCAATGTATGCCACAGTATGTTTCTCTTTTTTTAACCAATGCCTCTTTTGGTGAACATAGAAGTGCCTGGTGCAGGCTCTTCCAGTTTCAGTAGGGTCAGTTGAGGTGGGGGAGAGGATCAATATGCCATTTGGTGTGATTTTCACCTCTGAATGATATTTATCTTTCCCTCTGGCAACTTCAGGGGTTCCCAGGTTTGCTTGGCTTTGTTGAAAATGGCTCTTGCCCTAATAATTCCTTATTCTTCAGGCTAAGGTCCTGGGTGAGCAGAGGAGAACTTGTCCCACATGGGACTTCAATTTGGAATAAACATGCTGTGGTTCTGGCTCTTGCATGAGGGTGAGCTGTGCGGTGGGCTTTTACCTGGTAAATATTTGCCCCAGAGATCAGATGAGCTTGACTTTCATTAAACAGGTCTGTTAGGCTCCTGCTCTCAGAAGGGAAGAAAGTTCCCTCTGTCTAGGAGATTAAGGGGGAATGCCCTTCACTCCCAGGAGGGACAGAGTTGGTGGGAAGAGCACATATACCCCACAGCCATTTTGCAAACAAGGAATTTAAGAGTGGATATCTTTTGCAACTGATGAGGTGAAGGGCTGGGCTGCATTTAGTGTCAGGATGCAGGTTAATCTGACCTGTATTTACTCAGAAGGAAGTCTTACCCAAATACTGATTGCAGTTGTACATATGTGCGAACCCAGGCAGCTGAAATTAATTTTGCAGTCTCTGGGCAAGGCTTGGTTTTTTTAGTCTGTTCCCAATGATTACCTGTGCTAGGAACATATTAAACTAGAGCACAGCAACCTACACCAAAAAAGAAGCCCCTGACAGGAACTAAAAAGGTGCAGGTTGAGGCCATCAGGGGACAAATTGGTCTATTGATGCGATTACATTACATGGTCTCCAGAAAAAAGAGCAGACCAATCCACTCCCAGAGCACAACAAACAGTAGGACAGATGCCCATCTAAACGAGTCCTTTGTCACCTTATTGAGGATTGATCCAGCTGCACTACACAACTGTCATTGCCAATGAAGTGAATGAAAAGACCTCTGCCAGCAGGTAAGGATTCAAGCATGTATCAGAGCTCTCATGCTTACCCAAGTATCCATAGGCTTGGACTACATTGGGAGAAAAGAAACCTGCCTTAAATCAGGACAGTTGAAATCTTAGGTCTCTGTAGAATATTACTTTCCTCATATTTACTGATATGCGACTCTGCTGATTCATGAATTCTCATCTTGGAATTTGTCTTCCTTTCTTGTACCATAAGTTATCTGTCACTGTTCAGAACACTGAACAAATGTAGGCTATTTTTATAAATGCATAAATAGTGTTCAATCCAGAATTCTGCTCTCTGCCAAGTACAATATGTTCCCTGATTTTATAATGGCTTATTAACAAAGTCATAAAAAGTGATGCTATTAGGCTTCCAATATGAATTTATCGTCTTCTGCAAGAATGAGTGTATGAAATGTTTCAAAGGCTTATTCCACATGTATTACTCGGTAGAGTCAGAATTTACTGTATCTACTCACAGAGATGTTTAAAGATTAGAGGTGAGAGACTGGCTACGTTTTGGTTGTACTTCATTCATTTTGAATATTGTAATCAACTATTTTCTAATTAAGTTTTGTCATATTAGTCTGCATTAACAGACATATAGTTTCCAAATGGGAAGAAGGCTGCATCTTGAAAGACGTCTGACTGCACCTTGATTCAAAACTGCCCAGTCTCTCTCAAATGCATAGAAACAAATAAGCTGAGGTGAAAACTGATGCACTCCCTATCAATACTTCTAAAGGGTTTACTAACAGCATGAAAAAAAAAGTACGAACCATTCATTGGAATCACTTCTTATGAAATGTGGAGCCTGAACTGATATATACATACACATTAAAGGATATGGGATAATAGACAGTCCAAGCTAATAATACCTGATTAAGCAAGGGGATCTGTAGAGTAGCAATGTCTGTACACACTCTGTTTTGCAAGAAAAGAGTGAGTAACTTAAAAATAAGTGGATCTCTCCTTGTACAATTAGATTGGGAGAAGATTATGTACAACACAGGTCTGGATTCTTAAAATGTTCTTTCTTAGCTGCTGGTCCTCTGTGGGAAACCGTCAACAAGGAAGGCAAGAAATATCTATAGGACAATCATGTGACAGACTTGCAACAATTGAACATGAATTCCTTCATGCATTGGGATTCTGGCATGAGCAGTCACGATCTGATCGAGATGATTATGTCACAATAATGCGAGACAGAATTCAGGCTGGTAACTATTCTACATTTCTTCTATTTTAGATTATAATAGTTTCCATCTGCACAACTTCCCTTTTAACAAGGAATTTAAGAGTGGATATCTTTTGCAACTGATGAGGTGAAGGGCTGGGCTGCATTTAGTGTCAGGATGCAGGTTAATCTGACCTGTATTTACTCAGAAGGAAGTCTTACCCAAATACTGATTGCAGTTGTACATATGTGCGAACCCAGGCAGCTGAAATTAATTTTGCAGTCTCTGGGCAAGGCTTGGTTTTTTTAGTCTGTTCCCAATGATTACCTGTGCTAGGAACATATTAAACTAGAGCACAGCAACCTACACCAAAAAAGAAGCCCCTGACAGGAACTAAAAAGGTGCAGGTTGAGGCCATCAGGGGACAAATTGGTCTATTGATGCGATTACATTACATGGTCTCCAGAAAAAAGAGCAGACCAATCCACTCCCAGAGCACAACAAACAGTAGGACAGATGCCCATCTAAACGAGTCCTTTGTCACCTTATTGAGGATTGATCCAGCTGCACTACACAACTGTCATTGCCAATGAAGTGAATGAAAAGACCTCTGCCAGCAGGTAAGGATTCAAGCATGTATCAGAGCTCTCATGCTTACCCAAGTATCCATAGGCTTGGACTACATTGGGAGAAAAGAAACCTGCCTTAAATCAGGACAGTTGAAATCTTAGGTCTCTGTAGAATATTACTTTCCTCATATTTACTGATATGCGACTCTGCTGATTCATGAATTCTCATCTTGGAATTTGTCTTCCTTTCTTGTACCATAAGTTATCTGTCACTGTTCAGAACACTGAACAAATGTAGGCTATTTTTATAAATGCATAAATAGTGTTCAATCCAGAATTCTGCTCTCTGCCAAGTACAATATGTTCCCTGATTTTATAATGGCTTATTAACAAAGTCATAAAAAGTGATGCTATTAGGCTTCCAATATGAATTTATCGTCTTCTGCAAGAATGAGTGTATGAAATGTTTCAAAGGCTTATTCCACATGTATTACTCGGTAGAGTCAGAATTTACTGTATCTACTCACAGAGATGTTTAAAGATTAGAGGTGAGAGACTGGCTACGTTTTGGTTGTACTTCATTCATTTTGAATATTGTAATCAACTATTTTCTAATTAAGTTTTGTCATATTAGTCTGCATTAACAGACATATAGTTTCCAAATGGGAAGAAGGCTGCATCTTGAAAGACGTCTGACTGCACCTTGATTCAAAACTGCCCAGTCTCTCTCAAATGCATAGAAACAAATAAGCTGAGGTGAAAACTGATGCACTCCCTATCAATACTTCTAAAGGGTTTACTAACAGCATGAAAAAAAAAGTACGAACCATTCATTGGAATCACTTCTTATGAAATGTGGAGCCTGAACTGATATATACATACACATTAAAGGATATGGGATAATAGACAGTCCAAGCTAATAATACCTGATTAAGCAAGGGGATCTGTAGAGTAGCAATGTCTGTACACACTCTGTTTTGCAAGAAAAGAGTGAGTAACTTAAAAATAAGTGGATCTCTCCTTGTACAATTAGATTGGGAGAAGATTATGTACAACACAGGTCTGGATTCTTAAAATGTTCTTTCTTAGCTGCTGGTCCTCTGTGGGAAACCGTCAACAAGGAAGGCAAGAAATATCTATAGGACAATCATGTGACAGACTTGCAACAATTGAACATGAATTCCTTCATGCATTGGGATTCTGGCATGAGCAGTCACGATCTGATCGAGATGATTATGTCACAATAATGCGAGACAGAATTCAGGCTGGTAACTATTCTACATTTCTTCTATTTTAGATTATAATAGTTTCCATCTGCACAACTTCCCTTTTAACTGAAAAGTTTTCTACAATTTTGTAATACACATTTTCTTTGTTCTTGTTCTCATATGTTGATTATGACAAACTATGCATTATTTTGTCCTGCTTGCTGTACTGAGTGGAAATTTACCACATTTACCAGGGGTAAAGCACTAGACCACGTGCCCAAAGCCTGCTTGTTACTAGCTTTAAACTCAACTTAAGAGCAAACTTTTGCTATGAATTTTTGGGACATTCGTTTATAATTTTTCTGCACTGCACACAAGTTACTGGTGCCTGAAAGCTTGTATTGTTTGATTTTTTTTTAATGGCCCAATGGTTGCATTCTTCTATGTTTGTATTGTGTAATGATCACAGGGCTATTCCTTGTTACAAATGTCAGTTTTCTCAAGCAGTGAGACATTCAAGTAGCAGGTTTTATTTTCGGGAGGTTTAGTTTTCTTTAGATGAGAAAGTGTTGTAAATTTAAAACAAAGCAGTGAGTAAAGTGTATCCTTACAGTTGAAAACATCCAGAGATATCTATGAAACATCTATTTAAGCCATAGAGAGTTGTCATCAAGTGTCAATAGTTTAAAAATAGATTACTAAAACAGATGTGCTTTTTCTTACAATATGCTTTATTTGCTTGTTTGTTTAAATAATACATGGCAAAATCTTAACACAATTAAGCACTTTGAAATTCTACTGCTTTAAATGGCTGAGATATACTTTATTTTCTTATGTAAGTCAGTCTCAATTTTTTTTCATTTGTAAGTCAAGACGCGGTTAGTAACTCAAAGCAATATTTTGCATCTGGAGCTGTTCGTAACTCAAAACGTTTGTATGTCAGGGCGTTCGTAAGTCAAGACACCACTGTATATCATTACTTAGTTATATGTGCCTTCAAGTCAGAACCAACTCATAGCGGCCCTAACAAGGCTTTCAATGTAACTGAGACATTTAAGGAATGGCTTTACCAATTCCACTTCTCCATTGAGTTTCCATGGCTGGATGGGGATTTGAACCCTGGTCTCCAGAGTTCTAGACCGTCACCCTATCCACCATGCCACACTGGATAATGATACCTCTACTAGGCCAGTTCAAACTATGGTTTTACTTCGAGTTCAATAATGGAGAAAGGAATTTGGCTGGGCACAATCCAGGCCAGGATATGCCATTGACATTTCTCATAGTTCAACAGGAGGCTTCTTGAAACTGTGCTCAGTTCTTTCCATTGACTCAATAGGATTGAAAATTGCATAACTGTGGTTGAATTATGCCAAGTAAAAGTCGCCATGGGAGTCATGGTGTTTCATTCTTGTTTTCTGTTTTCTTGTTTCTGCTCAGGTAGAGAACATAATTTCAACAAATATGATGATAAAACATCAGATTTCCTTAATGTCCCTTATGACTATACCTCTGTAATGCACTACAGTAAAACTGCCTTCATGAATGGAACAGAACCAACAATACTCACAAACATCCCAGCTTTCATAGATGTGATTGGACAGCGGATGGATTTCAGTGAATATGATATCCAGAAGCTGAGTCGACTGTACAACTGCAGTAAGTGCTTTGAGCTTCATTGCATCCCCTGCATCTTTGTTTTTCTTTTACAGTAACATTCTTTATTGCTACGTTTTGACTTTACCTTTCTTCATCATCCCATCATGTTGTTACTATTATGTGACCTCACATCACTTCTGAATATGGTGGCTCTATAAGTTAGTGAACTCCAAAAGATCCTGTAATCATGGCTCTATATGGAGGGAGGGGCTTTTCAAGGAGTCCACCCCCCCATTGGTTTAACTAAACTTGTAAAACAATTCTTGTACTTTAAAAAGTATTGTTGAAACAAAAGAGGCAGCCTTTCTCATGGATTAGAATGTATATTGAATGTTTCCAATCCATTGTATTGTTTTCCATATTTCTTGGCTTTTGATAGATTCAGTCTCTGTAGCTTAGAATAGTTCTATTGCCAACCTATCTACTTCGTCTGATATATTTTTATAAGTGCTTTGAGAGCAGATTTAACTACATTTTCTAAAATCAACGCTTCTTCATCACAGCATTCTTTTTCAAATGAATCTGTTATCTTTGCATCTCTTATGTGTAATTCTTCAATATATTGTTTCCATCTTCTCTTTTATTTAATGGTCACATGGCATGTTCTCCTGTCAGTCTTTCAACATGCTAATCTATATTTAAATTTCCCTTTGATATCTTAGATTTTATCTCATTATTTTATAGCTGACCACAATAGATCTTCTTTGTGTCAGAAGCAACCCACTGGTGCTTTCAGAATGAAAGGATCAGCCAACAGGGCAATGCCATTGCCCAGGGGATTACTGAATGTGCTTACAGTCCTCATATTTTTTGTAGAGGTTCTTGCTATGTTCCTTATCAGAATCATTAATGCTTATACTTGCAACTTATCACTTAATTTACACTTACTCTAGAGTAAGTGTAAATTAAATGTGTGAAATATTCAGTGGACGTCTGTCCTTTTGAAAAAAGAATTCAATTAAATTCAATGTAGTACTAGTTGTGCTTTTGTGGTCCATGAATGAATGACTCGGGCAGGACTTTAACTTTTGTATCCAAAGTTTCCTACCTCCTTTTACAAATAAAATGTCTGCCCAACTGCCTTGTTTTATTACTAGATTTTTCCCCACCTTTCTTCTATAAACATCCAGAAAGAAATTAACAGTAAAATCAAATCAAAACAGAAAGGGATTGAATGAAAAGCATAAAACAGACTAATTCAAATACAAAGCATTTTGAAAAATAATTAAAATGTGTCACTTAATGAAAGACACCTCTTCCCCCACTTAACTACTCCTTCTGCACCTATCCAGCTCAGTTAATGCCCCCAGAGTGTAACTCATCGTTAATGTCTAATGAAGAAATATTAAAGAAGCATTTTGAGGTCTGCAGAAAGGCTGCAGAGTGGTAGGGGAATTTCACCCCCCCCCCACTTTTGATGGCTGAAAAACATTCCATCAACAGGAGATCTTGGTTGGAAAATAATCAGCAGAGCTAATTTCTCAATAAATGTGCATAGGAGTAAGCTCCTATTGTATATGTGATGGTAGACACAAAAATGATTTTTCTGCCTCTTCCTTGATCTTTAGGAGAGGAAAAGGAGAGAACTGCTATGTTTACATTACCTTCACTTACAAGTATTTTATTATTTTGTGTTCACTTTGGATGCTGTTCCTTTTCCTTAATCTAAAATAACAGTACTTAAAAATACTCACCAATTTCCAATAAATGAAATTAATTAAAAGGACACATCTCAATTTGAAGTTGATTTGTTTTTCTAGTGTCAAGAGGGTTGTAATATGTTTCAAGGGGGTAACTATTATGGAATTTGTTGAAATCAGCATTGTATGCATACCAAATGAAGGTCCTTAGTGCCCATTTGAGTCACTAGTTATCATCAAGATTCTTGGTGCAATGTAAGACATAACATTCTTCTGAAACAATTTTCTGGGCTCGGATTCAAAGTTCATAGTCCTGCAGATTCCAAAAAGCAAATCAGATGAGATTAGAGATTATTAACTTAAATAACCGGAGAAGTAATTGCATGGATAGGCTATTAACCACGTTGGTTGATATCATGCAATATTTGAGCCAGGTTTTATTTGCATAGAATTTGTGTGCAATTAAGAAAGCGCATGCTTGTTTCCTTTGAAAATATGTAGATTCTTTAAGTTGATAAGGAAGCTGAACTAAATGAAATGAGTCATTTAAAATGTACATGAAATATGTGTGCTTTTCAGGACCAAAGGAGTTCACATCTTTTCTTTAATTCTTCCATTTTGGTACTGCCCTCCTCTTTTTTTTTTTTTTAATGCTTTATCTTCACTATTTTGGTAGGAAGAAATACAGATGTCAAATTTCTCTCCTTTTCTCATAACCAGAGTCCCTTGCACTGTCCAAAGTCATATGGAAGTTTCCACACATTTTGATATCTTTGTGTCTGAAGGTCAGTGAACCAATTGAGTCAGACTTCATTTATATCACACACATTGATATTGTGTTGGTTGTATCTTGAATACTGTTGCAAAGCCATCTAAAACAAATTATGCTCATTGTCTGGCAGGAGCAATTACATTTATGGGAGTTTTTCAGTTTTATGGAAGCATAGTTCAGAGACAGAACACAGGCTCTGTGTGACAAAAGAGCCAGGTTTATTAATTTTTTTATTTATTGATAAATTTATAATCCATCTTTCCACTATAAAGTAGTGCTCCAGACAGCTTACAATTTTCATAAAACAGTGAAAGCAAGTAAAACATATTTAAACATAAAATTCTTAAAATAAAAAAAATCAGCCCTGTCATAAACATTGTTAAAATGAATTATATGTACAACAATTTGTGTTCTTAAGAAGACTTCTCTCTCTGATCTTTAATTTGGGTAGGTACATAAAATTTCAAGAAGACGTGATTGGGTGGTCCCTTAGATAGCCAGGGTCTAATCCAATTAGAACTTTAAAAGTTTAAACCACGAAGTCGAATTTAGCTTGGTGACTAATTGGCCATAAGTTCAATTGTTGCCTATTTTTATCCAGGAGGTGCTCTCTTTTTAACGGTTTCGGGATCCATGCATCCCTACACTGTGAAGCTTCCATTAACTTAGGTTGGTTCTCTCTTACCAATTGTAATAGTCTTTTATCATTTTCTACTATCATTTGATGAAGTGAAGCCATTCTCCTATGGAAGCAGTTTTGAAGTTTTACAGTTTTACACATAATGAAATTCTTGAACTCAACAAGCCCACAACCACCCATATTTTATGGTAAATAAAGATCCTCTGTAGGTGACTATGGATAATGGCACTGGTGTTTTGACAGGACTTGGCTTTTCCCATCAATGTTGTTGTACTTCCAGTTTCTCATTCCAAAAGAGTATGTTGCTTTTGTTAATAGCAGTAAATTTTCCTTTTGCATCAAGTGATATTCTGAGTAATGCTTTCACTCTGTCAAAGTACTTGTTCCAGAATAATATTGTTGTTGTTCAGCCTCTTCCTTGAGCTTTATGGAGACATGCAGTTTTGAACTGGAAAATGTGTGCGGCATGGTTCAAAGTACAGAAGATAATGATGACTGGCAGCGCATAACTCAAGTTTCTAGTGGACCACAGGATGATCACACCTATGCTGGAATCTGCCAAGGTATTATACTGAAATTGTTCTTATCTGTTAGAAACACATTTTGTATGGGTTCATCTCTGATATCATTAAACTGAGCTGCCTATAAATTACGTACCTCTGCATTCTAATCCAGGCCTGCTAAATAACTGAGGTATTAAAATGCTTTCTGTTGCAACATGCATGTCAATAGAGATCTGCAATCTCTGTCTTAGTGTTCAGAGGGTAAGCCCTTCTGGGCAAGGAATGGTGGGGAAAATGTGGCTGTACTATATTCGGGGAATAATTTCCCACAGTGACCCTGGATCTGTTCTGGTGGAAGTCAGGATACAGTGTGTTTGGTGAAGCTGGTTCACAAACTAGAATATTTACCAAAACAACACTAGAGCACCACATGTATGGCTTTGAATTTAAGGTGTCCTTGTAAAGTCCTGGGTAAATAATAAAGTTGAGAGACTTAGTTGCCCCCCAGAATTCTTATTAGGAAGGGATAATAAAACATCTGGGAGTTTCCTGGTTTGTGTGAGTTTCAGAAAACTTAGTTTTCACGATGGAAAACAAATACTAAAAAAAGAGAGTAGAGATGAATGGAGTGCTCTTGAGTATACTTTTTATTTTGAAGAGAGAGAGAGAGAGAGACTATTCTGGACTAAGCAGCCCAAGAGGGAGAATTATATTAAAAAAAAGAGGTTACTTACCTGTAACTTTGGTTCTTCGAGTGGTACTCTGTGAATTCACACTAATGGGTTAATCTGCGCTTGCGCAGAAGGCCTCGGAACATTCTAGAGCTTAAAGTAACACTTTTGGCTCCGCCCCCCCAGGACCTCATGGTCCGCCCGCCCTAACAGCCATTCAGTTCCCCAAATTCCGCTGCTGCTCTAAAGGCGAGACAGCCGTGACGGAAAGTGGGGAGGACGGGCGGGCCGTGTGAATTCACAGAGTACCACTCGAAGAACCAAAGTTACAGGTAAGTAACCTCTTTGAGACTCCCCAAATCCCTTTCAACAGATGGACTTTGCAGGAAATTTAAGAGTATAAAGAACACTCTATCCTGGTCATTAGATCTCTCTCTCTAACCAATCTTTCAAACAAAATGAAGGCATTTTGAGCCAAAATTTGAGTGGAACAGGTAAGTCACTAGTGTTCTCTGACAACAAAAGATACAGGTTTGGGTAGCTGCCTAGTATCCTGATGTTGTGCACTGCTGCAAAACAACACATGGAACTTTATACTTCTTTTGGCTAATTTTAGATTATGCCCAAGTCATAAAAGCATGATGCTTTATGTCTTTAGTGTAAGGTATGAAATGATGTCTGGATTATTATACCAGTTAACCGAGCAGGAAAATCCATTTCTACTAAACAGCAGCATGTATAAATACACAAAAGTTGTAACTGAAGTTCTAAAACCTTTGCTAAAAATGTTTGAGCATCAAAACTTCCTATTTTTTTATTATTGTTATGGTGATGTATTATACTACAGTGCAACTTTCAAAATGCATTCCACAGCCTCTGGGCTACTTCAGAGAATGTTGATATTCCTTTTAACTGTCTCAATCTCCTCAAGTCCCTGAATTACAGCGTAGCATCCACTAAAGCTCCAAATGCTAGAAATGTACCTTCTGTGTGAGATGACCTAAAGCAAAGCAAAGCAAAGCAAAGCAAAGCAAAGCAAAGCAAAGCAAAGCAAAGCAAAGCAAAGCAAAGCAAAGCAAAGCAAAGCAAAGCAAAGCAAAGCAAAGCAAAGCAAAGCAAAGCAAAGCAAAGCAAAGCAAAGCAAAGCAAAGCAAAGCAAAGCAAAGCAAAGCAAAGCAAAGCAAAGCAAAGCAAAGCAAAGCAAAGCAAAGCAAAGCAAAGCAAAGCAAAGCAAAGCAAAGCAAAGCAAAGCAAAGCAAAGCAAAGCAAAGCAAAGCAAAGCAAAGCAAAGCAAAGCAAAGCAAAGCAAAGCAAAGCAAAGCAAAGCAAAGCAAAGCAAAGCAAAGCAAAGCAAAGCAAAGCAAAGCAAAGCAAAGCAAAGCAAAGCAAAGCAAAGCAAAGCAAAGCAAAGCAAAGCAAAGCAAAGCAAAGCAAAGCAAAGCAAAGCAAAGCAAAGCAAAGCAAAGCAAAGCAAAGCAAAGCAAAGCAAAGCAAAGCAAAGCAAAGCAAAGCAAAGCAAAGCAAAGCAAAGCAAAGCAAAGCAAAGCAAAGCAAAGCAAAGCAAAGCAAAGCAAAGCAAAGCAAAGCAAAGCAAAGCAAAGCAAAGCAAAGCAAAGCAAAGCAAAGCAAAGCAAAGCAAAGCAAAGCAAAGCAAAGCAAAGCAAAGCAAAGCAAAGCAAAGCAAAGCAAAGCAAAGCAAAGCAAAGCAAAGCAAAGCAAAGCAAAGCAAAGCAAAGCAAAGCAAAGCAAAGCAAAGCAAAGCAAAGCAAAGCAAAGCAAAGCAAAGCAAAGCAAAGCAAAGCAAAGC